TGTAAACACTGAACTATTGAGATTAAATATTAAAAAACAATGGTGCAGTACCAAGTTGACTACAGCTGGGGGCAGTATTTGACCATTAAAAGGCCCCATTGACTCCCATTATATAAATTTGGAATAAAGTTTAAACATTAATATTTCAATAACTACAAGTTGTACAGGTACCAAAAGGCATAGCAGTCATTTGGCACAGGACCTTTACAGATAGAAATTACAATGGCAGCTGTAGGACAAAGTATGCAGGAGCATTGGACTTTCAGAATGAACTTTGACCAAGTTTGAATGCGTTTTCTATACCAGCTTGTGCCTGTCACGTCAGCAGATGTTTGTAATTAAGGTAATTGTGTGACAATATGAAGTTTGAAAAGATTTTTGTTAAAGTTGCAGTAGCTGGATTTGAACCCTGATCTCCCACATGAAAGCCCACAGAGCTCATCATGAGACTATAGGAGATGTGGCAGAGGACAATCCCAGGGATTGGATTGTATGTRTACAGAAAAMGTTTACCTTGCCAATGCAATTATTCACACTTAAGTGCAATATATTACAGCAATATATTACAGCAATAGGACAACATAAAGACAGTATTACAGTACAACATCAAAATACAATCATAGTAATATTGTAATCACTGAACTACTGAGTTTAAATATTATAAAACTATGGTGCAGTACCATATTGTGTAGAGACAGCAGGGGGCAGTATTGGACCAATACAAGGCTCCATTGACTGTCATTATAATTTATTAAACATTAATATTTCAAAAACTATAAGTTTTACAGGCACCAAAATTCATAGCCATCATTTGGCGCAGGGGCTTTACAGATATAAATTACAATGGCAGCTGTAGGACAAAGTATGCAGGAGGAGAAGCRTGGCAAAGTTCAGATGACTTAGATGGGAAACRAATCACAATAGTGTGCATTGAATTGACAATGCACACTGATAAAAATATATGGACAATGTAAATCTGTCTTTAAGTATACTGTGCAACCTTACAAGCCACCTTCAGAAAATAAAAAATACAAACTAAAAAGCACATCACAGTGTATCAGTCAGAAACACCATTAAAACACTTTTAACAACGTCCCTCCTACAGCTGATTGAAGCACTGTGGTCACTAACAAAGACCCTCACCTAATCCTTTCTGACTGATTGGTGACTTTTCAGGACACGCTAAACTAATTCACCACATTTGTTACAAAAGAAAATATACAGAGAAACTTTAAGTTTTTTTTTTTTTACTTTAGGATCCTAACTTGTTAAAACTCAGGCAAAAGAGAACAGACTTGTTTTTACAGCTTGGTCTCAAACCAAACTCCCWTTTAATCTATTTGACATTAAGCTGGAACAGGGAGGTCACTCGGCTAACTTCAGGGATTGGAGTTAAATGAGTTTCTAAATGGAGTGTACTCAGGCCCTCAATGGGAATCTGCCTGGCTGCATAAAATAAAAAGGAGCTTAACTTGTGTCCGTTTGCTGTGTGTGCATAAAAATGGTGATTTTAAGAGTAAATGCAAGTTGTGGCTTCAAAAACATCACAACTTATGAATAAAGATGATAAACACTTAACGAATGCCAGGTTTCAACAGATGTTAATCTGGTTTTRAGTGGTGATGCATCAAATATGATTTTAAAAATCAAGGAGTTTGAATTATGTTTCTTATTTATTTTATTTATTGCTGTGGTAAAAAACCTGACACTGTGCACGTTCAGTTTTTTTTTTTTTTTTTGAACAAACCATAAAGGGGAGTATGTTCTTCAGACCTGGACAGATGACTTTTTACAACGTTTTCCTGGAGCGTGACGCTGTCRCTGCAGGCAGATGGTCCCCGGGTCTTGTTGCACTGCGGTGCTATAAAGCAGCAAAGCTTGTAAAGAAAACACATCGTGGCTTCAGTTTCCCAGAGTAACTAATGAGGCTCTTCTGTTTCCTCAGACACCTTTGTTTAGAAGCTCATTTAAATACAAAAACATATAAATAAAATGTACTCTGAACACCTGACCTTACCTGGATTTGTTGTTTTGCAAACTTCAAGCTGCATCTTTTTCTTGTCTTTTGCAAACTTGCACCACAGCAGGCTGCTGGTCCAGGATGCTGGACTCCTTGGACTCATTAGGTCACATGATTGGATTTGATTTGATTTGATTTGATTTGATATGATATGATATTTGTATCGGAGGTCTTCAACTCTGTTCCTCATGACCCACTGTCCTGCATGTTTTAGCTGTTTCCTTGCTTCGACACACCTGATACAAATCATTAAATTACCTGCTCAGATCATCAAGCTTAGCAGAAACCTGTCAGTCACTCGTTCATGTCAGTCAGGTGTGTTGAAGCAGGGAAACAAATAAACTATGGGGACACACAAAATGTTTAAACCCTTTCAGGTAATTTGCAGTACTTTGATGAGCTTTTAGCAACATAAAATTAAAAAGAATAAAACATTAAGACAATTCATAAAACAGGACTAAAAACAGACCATTATAGCATGATTTAAAAGGTGGCAGTTATACATGACTATAAAAATGCTTCAGTCTTTATCTGTTGAAAGAGACCCTACAGTTTGTATGGGGTGCCATTTGTAAAGTTACACAGTCAAAAATTACCACAAATATTTTGTTTTATTTAGACTTTTATAAGAAACAAAGAACAGATTTATTTTTCAAAGGCAGTTTTTCACCATATGATTCACATATTTATAAATGTCATTGTTTATAAACTAAATATTTAATTTACAAATTAAATATTTAGTTAACATGCTAAATATTTAACTTGCGACTTAAATATTTAGTTTTGAGCTAAATATTTAGCTTGAAACTTAAATATTTAGCTAGCTACCTAAATATTTAGGTTGCAAGTTAAATATTTAGGTAGCTAGCTAAATATTTGAGTTAAATGTTAAGGTGTTTAATATTTAGCTTATTACCTAAATATTTAATTTGTAAGTTAAATATTTAGTTTATAAACCATGACATTTATAAATGTATGAATCATATGGTGAAAAACTGACTTTGAAAAACAAATCTGTTCTTTTTTTCTTATAAAAGTTTAAATGAAACAAAAATATTGGTGATAATTTTTGACTGTGTAACTTTACAAACGGCACCCCATACATTCCCATTGTCTGCTCCCCCAGTTACTGAGCCTGTAGCTTTAAGAGGAACCAAAAGACCACCAAATGTCTGAGGACCATTCAGGTTTAATAAAACCAGTGTTAAACTGGAGAATCTGACTGTTTTCAAAATTCATCACGTTAAGTTTCTTTAGAAGAGGACCAAGATCTGAACTCCTCTGTTATAAATCATTCTGAGAGGTTTGATGCAATAAATTAAATGAGAAAATATTGAGTGCATAAAACTGTTGATAGCATGAAATTCTAAACAATGTCATTAACCTGAATGTGTGCAAATTTTCTTTTTTTCATGTTTTTATTACTATTATTATTATTTTAAATGAGAATCTGAAATGAAACCCAGATATTAAACTTCTGAAACCTGCCATTTTTCCAAAATCAAGCTTTGGAGGAAGTTTTTTTTAACACTCACTCTAAGACATAACTTGTCCAACCATGTACTTTTAAACAGTCTCCATGTTTCATCAGATACCAGGACCACAAACCAGAGGACATCTTCCTGAAACTTTTTTTGTTTTTGTCCTCTTGACCGGCTTCAAAYGAGATTGAGTACTTTTTTATTGAACTGCATGATTCACGTGGCAAATTCAAGGCCTGTGGGCCAAATGTGGCCCACWGGTGACTCCTGGCTGGCTCACCAATGGGGGGCAAACCGTCCCAATTAATTCAAACAATTCAAGATGGCAGATACTCACAACTCAACAGTGAGTAAAACTCTTACTTTTACTTTTAACAGTATTTCTGTATTAGTTTTTTTCACATTTACTCAGTCAAACACGTAGTCCTTTTCAGTATTTATAGGAGGATGTTAAAGTGCTGTTTCTGTGCAGAAAATACCAGGTAGAGCTCAGATGTTTGTTAGCTGTGCTCAGTAGCATTGAGATGAGGAAGTTTCCTGTTTAGTCAAAGTTAAACACAAAACATCAAAGTTAATTGAGGGCCATCATAAGGCTCATGTGGCCCTCAGTGAAAATGAATTCGACCCCTCTAATTCAAACGAGTTAAATAAACTCGTTTCATGACGATGCAGGTGTTGCAGACCTAAACTGTGAAGCTTCTTTGATTGTTTCAAATCATCTGGACTAACTTCCTCTCAGCTCAGCGTTCCAGTCTGACAGTTTGAAAACTGTTTAATTTTTGTAATTTCTTTATTGTAAAGTAACTAATTTTTTATTGTCAGAAAGGCACAGCTACATGTGGAGTTGCCAATTTAAGCCACTTTGGATCTTTCAGCACCATCGTATTTATGATTTAGGTGGATTAAAAATGGAGGTTAAACAATCATTTGTGGCAGAAGGAGAACAATCAGAGAGCCGTTGATGGTTTGGAGCTGACTCAGCAGCTGATGTCGTGGTTTTTGTTATGAGAGTGTCACAGCAGCTCGGGCGGTCTTCAGGGATCCAGGTGTGTGCGTAGCACAGGGTAGCGTGTGACTCACTCCTCTGCTGAGCGAGCAGCGAGGTTATAGTAGATCAGCTGACAGACGTGCTGCTCTGGGTCTGAATGAACACACAGATTAAAGAAGTGTTCTCACATCACCCTGAGGCTGCTGGCCAGGCTGCAGTCTGTCTCCCTCTGAGCTCCGCCCCCAAAACCAGCTCCTTCGCAAGCAATCTGGTTCTGCATTCAAGAAAACATGTCGAGTTTCAGTCTTTTTTTATTCTATGCTGCATGGATCATTTTTAAATGCCACAAAAGTCACATTTGATTAAAGCGACCACGGTCATGTTTCAGCATGAAATGTTTTTGTTTCTAACAGCCAAAGGGAAGCGGTTTAGTCATTAGTTGTAAACGTCTCAGCTAAAATGATCATGTTTAGATGACTAAAGAAAAGTTTGGCTCATAGTTTTGTGTTTTTGTAATAGAACTAATACTTTATGTTTGAACAGCATGTCATGAAAACCTAGGTCATTGTGCGTGGATTCAGGCGTACGCACAGTTTGATACATCTGGATTGTTTTTTTGTGCGTACGCAGTTTTCTGGATTTGACCGTACGTCAGGTTTCAGTAAGAAATCCACCCAAACGGTGCGTACGCATAAAAAAGTTGTGTGCACCAGGTTCTACGCCCACGTTGTGATGTATCAAAACCAACGTTGCGTGAAAATTCTCACCTGCCGTGAGAATGTGCGGCAGCCACGCAAAGTTTTTCAGTCGACAGCTTTAACTCACAAAGTCACAAATCTGACCTGAATCCACAGAAATATGACTCTGTTGTGTTTTCTGGATGTAAGGAGCATCTGAACACGCTGTTAGATTTTTATTTTAGTTTTTATTGTTTAAACTGAACGATGATGAAACTGAACCCCGGGACTGAAAATCATTTAACCTCAGACAAGAAAATAGATCAGTCTAAAACTGATCAAAGAACCTCAGTCCAGTCTGTAAACTGGTTTTATATTTTTGTCACATAGTTTAAAACCTTTTGGGTCCCGGGCCGGAAAAACCCGACACATTACGTGCGACAAAAAAATACAAAATAATAAAAAAAGGCTGAAGAGAGGGAGCAAAATCAGATACAAATGGTGCCTCACTGTATGGTAAGAATAATTATTTTTTCTGTTTGTAGCCTTCTGAATGATGCTGAGCTGAGTTGTGGCCGTAGCGCAGCAGCTGTGCTTTGGGTAGATTCTCGCGCCAGGCGAGCGCACCCTCACCAGCTGGGAACATGTTCATATGTGTCAACCCCTTTGGACATTTACCTGTCTAATGAGCCTCAAAAATCTATATTTTTTGCTAAAAATACATAGGCTCCCACTCGTACCCGCTCGTGGGGGTGGGGTGGGGGTATGTACGTGGAGATGACCTGCCTGCTGTAAAGCAGGAGGAAAGGAGAGCAGAAAAAGTGGATAATGTGATGTTTATTTTTTTTTACGTCCGTTCAACACTGTGTTCAACTAACCAGACTTCAACATCACATTCGGGAGATGTCTGTAAATTTCAGGAAAATCTCAGGCTTTGGTTATCCTGTGAGAGTGTGCCACATAAAACAATGACACCACTACTTATTTAGACAGTTTTCTCACTCATTCTCCATTTAATGTATAACTTTCCTGCATCTAAAAATCATTTCTGATCCCACAGAGAGGACAATCTGAGGAGAATCTCACACACTGGATACATTTACATAAATTTTACAGATTTAAATGGAGACGTGTCGGGGGAGGTTTCTCAGTTCCACGTTCATTGGGATGTATAAAGGAAAGCTGCGCAGGAACTTGCGTGCGCACAGTTTTATACATCTGAATATTTTGGTGCAGCGCACTTTTCTAAATTTGTCCGTACGTCAACTTTTAGTGTGAAAGCTGTGCAATCTTTTMTGCATGAGGCCCCTGTCMACTGTCCTGCAAGAAGAATGGCTTCAAATCCCTCTGACTACTGTAGTGTCTAAGAGTGGGGGCCCCTTCTCAGGAATGCACAGATGTGTTATGTCTCTTAGTCTCCAGCTTCAGAGCTCGACACATGGACACAAAGGAATGCTTAAGGTATACCGTGACAAAATTTATGATGCACCTGTTGAACTACACTGTGCAACCTATAAAAAAGGCTTGTACGCCCCCACTCTTGGCCTTCGTACTTCATCTTTCTTACTTGGTGAATCATTTGGTTTGGAGGCCACAATTTGGTTTTTTGGCTGTAATCTCATGGACTGCAAAATAAAGGTTATTGCTGTTCAACCAGCCTGTTTCAGAGTCTCTCTCTTCAGAGCAGCAGTTCCGCAGAACCAGAAGACGTGGTTTTTACACCTCACCACTGTGCAGGACTTGGATATGTCATTCCCAAGATGAACTGATGCTGTGTTGGCCACAAAAGGAGGCCCTACACCATACTAATAATTTATTGTGGTCTAAAACCAGATGTTTCAGTTTCATTGTCCAACCCCTGTAGTTTAATGGTTGTTTTCAGGGCTTGATGACGTTTTCCATCTTCTGCGCCTCTAATCCTTGGAAACTGAAAGGCTCGTTGAAGACAGGGGAGTGTGAGCTGATCTTTAAGAAAACAAAAATATCCACAAAACTTTTCAGGAGTGGCAGCAGCTGCATGCCCCCCACCACACACACACACAC